TGAAAGTAAGATTCCATGACTTTCCAGGTTTTCCATGACCCGTACGAACCATGTACACCTTTTAAAAAATCTTGCTAACATCTTTGTGATATTCAGATTCAAATAAACAATTTAATGGTTTTCAATGACCATACAAATATACTGAGATCATTATAAAACATATCATAGGTAACTGAAATTTGTGTAGTGGTAGACTTGTGCATTAGTTCAATAAAATATATAAATTCAACTTTTTTTTTCATGCACAATGAAAATTTAATTACAGCTTCTAATTATATATTCTGGCAGATATCACTTCATTATCAGGACTCAGGAAAGACCTTTTACACATATGAATACGATTTTATAATAGCTGTGGTTTTAATACAACATCACAACAAAATCATTAAAAAGTGATATTATCAGAATTAATTTCTATTATACACGGATAATTTTAAACTACATCAAATGATCTACAGTTATTTGTTTGTGAAACTTATGGTATTTATTGTTTTCAACATTACTTTAAACATGATAGCCTACATTTGTTCACATTTTACCAATGTCTACATTACAATAATGTATACCTGCTTGTTTTTTACTTTTAATTCTGTTTTTTTTATCTTGTTTACCTTTGCACCTTCATATCTACTATTTCTTGTAAAAATGTAATTTTTACATAAAATTATACAGTTCTCAATAAAAAATAGTATTCCTTATAATATTTTCTTATGAAATCTATTTTTTAACAAGAAAAGCTTCCACGTATTTGTACTGAAGAATTTTTATTTCCAAATAGACAAGTCATGGCTCTACACAAGTATTAAGGCAAGATTGAAATGAATAAAAACCCTATAACCCAACCACTTTTGAAAGGTGGACCCTTTTTCTTCTGGTTTGTCCCTGAAGAAGAAAGGTCCACCTTTCGAAAGTGCTAGGGTTATAGGGTTTTTATTCATTTCTATCAAGACTTCTTGAACCCATGTATTTTTCTATCATCATGAAAACAGGATTGATATACTCGAACCCAAACTTAAAACTTACAGATTTGTGCTTACCTTAGTAAGGTCTGGTATATCACCCTTGTCTATTCCAACATTCTGTAACAGCATAAAAATGTAAACAACAGTCTTTGTTTTAATTCATAAATATAAAAAGATTGTTCAAAGTTTACAGTTAACAAAAACTGTATTTTCTATCAACACAGTACACAAGCATGAAATAACAATGTGAATCCATTATTACCACATACAAGGGGGACAGTATATGCACATTTTAAAATTATTTAGACTCTGATTTTATCTTAAAAAATACATTATAATTTAAATTTACAAGTATAAAGCAATTATTTTAACACCTGAAATAACTTAAGATTACACAAAGTGAGTTTTTTTGTTTGGAAGATATTTAAGTACAAGCTATGATGTTGATTTCTAAATTATTAAATTTATTGCCTTCTTAGTTTTCTCTTTGTAAAAATGTATACTGTTATCAAAAACAAATTTAATCTAAAAAAAGAAAAAAGACCAGATGGGAAGAAATGAATATTTGTGTATTATTAAATATATTGCAACAATTAATGAGCACAGCTTATGAGGACATATTTTGACTTACTTCTGCAACCTTAAGAAATTCTGCTACATGATCCATTCGAATAAGGAACTTTTTGTAAACATCCAATGCTTCTCGGCAATGTTTTTTGTTCATGTCAAAAAACTTTTCTGTAAGACACAGCACAATAAATGTTAACAATATATAAATTACATTTGGAAGAGTTACAAGAATACTCAAACTATTTGTACAAAACATCATTGTTTGTACATTTTAATTTCCATAAAAATTAAATAAACATTACTTATATCTAAAAAAATCTACTATTTTTACTCCAACAAATTTGTTAACCCTTTCATTATGGGCTGGGTGGATTCCACCCAGCTTGTAAACGCGAAAGTATCCATGAGAGTAATTATACTATGATTTTTGCTAATATATGCATACCTTTACAAAATTTGGCAAGTTATTGGTATACATTACAAGGCTTTCGTACACAAAATATCAGGTTTTTAAATTAAGTATTAAGATTTTTTAACTAAAGATTTCCTCATAAACTTTTTCTTTCAGAATGTTCCAACATGCAAAGTAATTTTGATTTTAAGATTAAAAATACTTTTGTGCATTAGAACATTTTCAAATTTCACAAGCAAAATCTTTATAACCTCGAGATAATTATCAAATTTGTTATAGAAAAAACTTTATCTTATCTGTTATATTCACTACTGTATCTCTTTACTGTTGGGTAATTAGGAAATAAATATAAATTATGCTTCTTTTGTTCTGGAATGACTACAAATTATAACACAGAAACAAATATGTTTAGTATAAATAGCTTAAATTTCATAACATTATACGTTTACATATATTCATTATTTTTTATGATATTGACCTTTCAGCCGAGCCTGGCTAACATTATTGAAGTTGCAGTGACGTGGCACACATGCATTCATGTTACTGTATCCGAGAGTATAAAACTGGCTTTTACCAAGAGACCTGTCTTGGCTGTGTTTTATTGGACTAGTATTTTGTAAAATACAGTCACATTTCAGTTATAATACATTATATATGTATGTATATATATATTATTACGATTTACAAATAAGTTATTAAAAGTTCTTTTTCTTAAACTTAGAACAGTAAATAAAGAATTACAGAAAATAATTACATCTTCTAGTTACGATCTTTGTACTCATTTGCAGCGTGCCATAGATTCCTAAGCCTTATCCAATTTCGCACATGGAGGATGTAAAACAAAATTATTTTTTTTTAGGTTTCATATATACATTTAAAATAACCAAAAATTCATAAATTACTATATCATTACCATAGAATTTCACTATAATTTATCGAGTGTAGTAACTAAGCTGTATTTGGGTCTAAAAATATATGAAATGTCGAGCAGACTAAAGACTCAACTTACCATCCTGAAATCTTGGATCAAAAGAACGAGTTGATGTCATAATACTCCAAAATAGCTAAAAAAGCCACTAGGGAGACATTCTGAGCTTTTGATTGGTTATTCACATGTCAGAGACAGAAGTACTTGTACATAAGGGAGTGTTTCCAAAAATGGAAAGAGGAGGGCGGGGCCTACTGTGTGTGTGTTTCAGTACATGAGTGATATCTCAGCAAATAGAAGAGATAAGAGGTTCTTATATTCTAGCTTGTCAATATCAGTAATTTCAGTTCCTAATTCATACGAAACTATACTTTGTATTTGGACATCACAAACATCTAATTTGAACCAATGCTGCATTCAACATACTACATGACACACAAAAATCAATATTTAGGATTTCTTTATTAACATTTACTTTTAAGTTAAGAAATTAACTGAAGGATGATACTAAAATTTGAATTATAATTTACAATTTGATACCAAAGTTATTGACATATATTAATAAAATAGTAGTTCAATAAAATTTTGAATGACAGTCTACAAACGCGATAACATGGCCTTTGACCCATGACCATAGGAAGACTGCTCCATTTTTCAAATACTGCAAGAATACATGAATTTTACATAAAATGTTCCTAATAATAAAAACTGTAATTACAAATAATTACAATAAACAATATTATTGAACTTTATACATAAAGGATTTACAATATATTTTACCATGATTTTATAATATTTTACAAATACAGATAAATTTAGTTGAATCACACAATATTTTTTGTTTTGAAACGTATCTTACCTTATCCATATATATCACACAATTAAAATGACAAGTGTTACACTAAAGTTAAGTATGTAATAGATTACTAATGAAAATTCACCTAAAATAGTCTTATGGATTTAAGAAACAAGGTAATATAAATCTTTTAAAACACTTATCATTACCACCTGGTTAAAGCTTATGCAATGGTATTTAAACAGAGATAAGTTGTATATGCAAAATTTATACCTCACAATTAGGAAGAGGAAAAGAAGTATAATTAGCAAAGTCATACTTCCCAACAGCATTGAGAATACTTACTGAAAGAAGTATTATTTTTTTAAGCAATTGCTTATTTTTCTAGAAAATTTATTTTACTGTTTTATATTCTAGCACTTGTAAAGAATTCCATAAATCATAGCTAAGAATAACTGTACTGTCTTGTGACTACATACCTAAAAGGTTAATAATTCCATCATTGTAACATGCAAAAAGCCTGATTAGATCTCGAAAAAGAAGCATGAAACATGAATTCACCACTCCATTGTTCAGATCACTGGAGCTACACTGGAAAAGGAAGGAGAAAACATAAAATATTAAACTCTCAGAAATATTCACACTAAAAGGAAGATCAATTTTAAAATGAAATTAAAATAAGAAAATAATACTTTTAAAATGCTCCAATATCAGTGTAGTATTTAAAGGTTTAAAAAAATATACACAATTTTTCAAATCATCAATGATGATGATTTTTAGATTATGTTAACTTTAAAAGCTATTATGTAGCAAATATTTTATTACTAAAATTATCTGGCAATAAAATTTTTGATGATATGAATAACTTGGCTGATAGTTAGAAAGTATTACTAAGAAATTTCTCAGAATTCACTTGGTATTACAACTGATAAGTATTTGTGAGGTTCTTAACTCAGAAAAACTAGTATGGGCGTATAAACACACATACATACACACATATATGGTTATTGTAACTGAATCACCACTCTGCATATTATTCATCATTGTGGATTAACCTTAATTCCAGAACTAAGCCTCGACCTTTAAACAACTCTTATTCCGTTTTTATTGTGCTTAAAATCTTTGAAATACTCATTAACTTTTTCGTCAGGATTATGCTATAAAGTTGACTGAATTAACTTAGGCATGTAGTATGATCAAGAAATAGCCATTAACTCTTGAACAAGGTTATATCTATTTTGCTCAATGTGTCATTTCTACAGCTTCTTCTGAAGTGACTTTCTAGTTACACTGCAAGACTTGTAGTGACTAACAGACAATGCAACATACAGAATTTAAAATATATACTCTTCTTTTTACCAACTGTCAGAATAAAAAAGGCTTTTACTTATATTTCTTAATAGTATAAATATATATACTATGTTTTTGTTGGGCTTAGATTCTTTTACAGTAGGTGTCTGTGGCTTGTTAGTGGTAAATACAACAATAAATGAACAGTACACACTTCATTTGTTTTCAAAATATATATATATATATATATATATTCAAAATAAGTTAAACATTTGTACAACAAATTCTTCACACTATAAAAATTATAGGCGTATCACAAACACAATATATATAGTTTTCTTCTTGTCAAAAGTCCACTTAGGCCTATTCAATTACTTTACAATTTCAGTTGACAAGACAAACTATCTTCTCTATTACTATCTCACTAATATTCTGTGTATGATTCACTTACAGTTGTGGCACAAATTGCCGTAATTGTTTGATCTTCTTTCTTCTGAAGATCCTCTGTCAAAGTGCACTCAGGCTGAATCAATTACTTTAGAACCACGCTTTGACAGAATATATTATTTTTCTTATCTTCTTTTCTACTGTTAGTCTTACTCTAGCATATTAAATGTTAGGCCTATCACTTCTATGGTAGTTAACTTTACTTTTTTCTGCTATTATCTGTCTGCTGTTTTCGCTCGTCTCACACTATTTATATCTTTATAACTTAATTGTCTGGCCCCCTTATATATTCTCAACATAATTAACTTTTCCTGTTGTAACTTTACTTTCTCCTGCTATTATCTGCCTGGTGCTTCTCACTTGTCTTACACTATTTATTTCTTTATCACCTAATCGTTTGTCGGCCTTCTATATTCTCGACATCAATGTATTGCATGCAATGTTCAATAGTCTCAACATCAATGAATTATTAACAAAACCTCCCAAAAACATCTGCCCTTAATTCTTATTATAACAAAATCTAAAATATTCACTCACAAAAACAAATCAATCAATAACATCTAAACTAAACAGTCTTTTATATCATGACACACAGTCACACAAATAATACCATTTGCAATAATACAAAACAATAATATAAAACTGAGACATTTCAAATGACATGAATGGGATGTGTGCAGATTAAACTTTAAGGGAACTTAATTTGAACGTTGATGTATATATATAAAAATAAGGCTTAATTCAAACAATCAAATAACAAGATTTCTTAGCCTAAGATAATTAAAAAAATGAGGCAATACTTACATCAAATTCTAAAAGAGAGTCTAGATGATTTTGAAGAACTGGTAGAGTCTTCAGCAACTAGGGTAAAAACATCACTTCACATTCAGAAAGGAAATATTTTATTTCTTCTATATAAATATTTTTTTTTTAAATTTGATACCAATATATATAGATATATGTGTGTGTGTGTAATATATATACATATTTTCTGGCACATATTCACTTACTTTTATAATCCATAATTTATACAAATTCCCACAAAATATTAAAATGGGCTGTCATTTTTTCATCAGCAAAATAGTGTATTTCAGGGAAATAGTGTAGAGTTCAGACTATCATGTCACTTTTGGATTTGCCAGATTTTGCCAAGTTTGTTGACTTACACTCTTCATCAGTAACTTTATGTGCATGTTAAGTGTGATGTCCTTTCATCACCAAAAGCAGCCTATGTTAAGAAATGGCATTTCAAATACCATAATACTAATTAAAAAGAAAAACACAAGAATATGAAAATGGAACACTAGTTTATTAATAAATCAGTCACGTTTGGCCATTTATAAATAGCTAACTTAATACAATCTCATCTGTGTGTGTGATGTAACATTTACCTCATGATTATAAAGTATGAATCAACCTTTTTGTCAACTTCTAAATAAAAAAAATAATTAAAGAAATAAACTTACTCTTTCTGTGTTCATAGTTCTGAGCATGCCATCTTCCTTCCTGTTTGACATAATAATTTATGTTGATAACTCACAACACAAATTTATAAAAATTGAATAGTTGGCATAAATACAGATTTTCTATTTCACAAACTTAATTAAAGACATGCTTAACTCTTTCCAACCTGTTATATATCTCTATCCACTTCTTTTTTGTGAGAGCACATGACAACATTACTTTTTCAAAAATTCTGTCTGGCATCATCTCCACCCCCACCCCAAATAAACTATAAAATAAAACTGGAACTGAAATTTTAAGGTTTAGAATTTTATTTGACATAAATCTTATGAATTTTTTTTATATAAAGTAATAAATTAAAAAAATCCAAAGTGCTAACTTTAATTGAATTTTTTTGCAACATCTGTAAACAATGGGTCAATAAAAAATATTAAAATATATGGATATTTTCACAAACTAAACTAAAAACAAAATTGGTATAAATGTTTTCCATTAAACAACAAAAGTAACATTCAGAAAAAAAGTAACATACTGAATGTAAAAACAGAACAAAATAATAAATGCAAAGAAAAACTGTTAGTGTTTAAGGAAAATATAAAAAATGTTTAAATTTAGCCAACAAATGAAACAGTTATCTACTAAGAAAGCTACACTACATAATACAAAAGCCACTTTTTCTACATTATTTGTAACTGTATGTATGTATTTTTATGATACTTGTAAACATCATGGTTTTCCTCAAAAATGTGGTTCTGTAAGAGGATATTCAAAACTGTAAATTGAAAACTTCGAAATGACTAGTATAAAATACCCATGCTCTGCTGCAGGGTTCAAAGGCCCCCTCATGATTTGCAGAGGTCCAAAGGTACAGATCAAGTTTCTTCCTTATCCCCAATTACTTTTATACCTATCCAAAGGTGTGTGTGTGTGAGGCCTACATGAAAAAAAAAACTTGTTAGGACACCCACCCGCAGTACCTAAGCATGTGTGTAAAGTTTGGTCCTCCAAGCTTGTGAATGGGTAATTGAACCAAATTTTGAAAATAATGCTAAATGGATCCTGTAGGCAGCTAGGAACCAAATTCTGATTAGTTGTCATCAAGTCTTGGTGAACTTCAGAGTGTATATGAGCTCCAGTCTTCTTTGCTTCCATGAAAAGGTTGGTAACATTCCTGTCCTGAACACTTTAAAAATGTACTATACAAGATATATTGGCAACACTTTTGCAGTGTTTCACAATGTTAAGTCCATTAACAAATATCTTCAGTTTTACAACTTCCAATAAAAAGTTTTTACTTTTAAAATCAACAGAATAATAAATTTTCCTTTTTAGATGTTTATGTTTTAAAATAGCAGTGTATACTTATTTTTAAAATATATCATAAGCCCACTTTCACTGAAGTGTATTGAAAATATGATTTAACAGGATTTGAACACAGTCATGATGATAAAATTCATGGAATTCAAGTCAACTGCAATTTTTCTAGGACTCCCAAAAACAAAAATTCATAAAACTTTTGGCAACTTCCTGGATTTGGCCCACTATCCAAAGTAACTGAACCTTCAGCTTTTCTCACACTCACACAATGTACATGCAATCTTAGCTCACTGTCATCCATCTTTCTCAAATCCATTAATTCATTACAAGTGACACAACTCACTATATAGTGATAAAACCCTTCTATTCTCTTACCCAGTTTTTGAATTCATCTTAATCCAACTATTTCCTACCGAATATGCATTTCTCCATGATGAAAGACAAGGTAATACAGCATTCGACTGATGAAAACAGCCTCACATCAAATATCATGCATTTTCAGCAAAGAATATAACATAAAATAATATTTATTGTCATTTTCCCTTACTCACTGCTTGGCTTTACCTTCAACACTTGCTGCATCACACTTACACTAGAAAATTATGTTAGCAATACAGGTTTATGGTGGAGAAAAGATGATGAAAATTCAAGCTTCTTGGAAGCTATGGGAGAATTGAATGGGTGTTGTTCTGGCAAAAATAATAACGACTAATAAAAGTAAACAACTTGGCAATTGATTGACCTCACTAAATGCCTGAGAAGCTCAATTACATAAAAGTAAAGGATATGTTACAATGGAAATTTTATAGAACACTTACATTAAAGGATTTTTCAAGGGCTTTTTAAAACAAAATTTTAATATAAAAGTTTTTCAAGACAATCCTGAAATTTAAGGACTTTTCAAAATCTGTGCAAACCCTGCTCGAGTATGAAAAACAAAAAACTACCAGATGAACACAGTTAAAAAAAATTGTTTTTATTTTATGAAACTTTCCAAAACTGGTTCCATTCTGGCCAAAACACCTGCCAATAACAATTTTTGTACCAATAAATTTTCCAGTCTATAAGATTAATATTCTGAGAATTTTTTAAATGTTTGAATTTTCTTAAAAACTTACCCTCGTTTGACCTTGCAGAAATCAAAAGCTACTGTTCTGTAAGACACAGCTTTTTCATTAAGGTATTTTGCATACCTTCTGATAAAAGTAGACATATCATAACCTGAAGAAGAAGAATCAGAAAAACAAAGAATGTAAATGTATGAATGTTGATGATTAGAAACAAAATGCTGCAATGACACCTTGATTTAAAACAACCAATAAAATTCTACATATTTTACACTTCATAAGAACAGACTAGCAACTATCTTGAAGTCTAGGTAATTGGAAAGTAGAATTAGTAGCTACAAAGTTCCTGAATTTTATATATGGTGCATGTGTTTGCACATGCGAGTGGTTGATCTTGTAACAGTGGTTTTGCAAGTTCAGTTAATTTTATAATTGCTTTTGCAAGTATATACTGTACAGAAATATATATATATACTCTCTTCTTTTAAAGATAAATGTATCAAATTAAATATTTCAATGTATGGAAACCAATAATGGAATAATTCAACTATAATCAAGGCTGTCTTGTGAGCCTTTCTCGTATAATGAGAACAATTAACTTGACGCATTTATATTGGATACATTGGAAATTGAAGCTGAAACTTTTTATCTAACTCTGTTGTATTTGCCATTCTTCTAATCTAGAATTACACTTTTTTTTGTGTGTGAGTGTATATATATCAATAACTTCAAAACTATTATCATATTAATCACATTAGTTGTTAATAGGCAATTAAAATCAGCACTATAAAACAATAATGAACTTAATATAAGATAAGCCTTAGAATTATTTTATAATGTCCATTGTAATTTCCTGTCGTAACCTTGAAGTCATGATGGAAATTGTCTGTGGTGATAGCTCCCAAAAGCATTGAGGATATCCAATCAGACAAAATCCAATAGCAAATGAAAAAACTACTTAGCAATCATAGAAAATCAATTAAGGATGCAGAGTTGAGTGCTTATACCCGAAACATCTCAACTGTTACTGCCGGCAGCCAGTTACCCTTAAACGTTCTACTAATATCAAAAGTAGAAATAAAATAAAACCAACCTAAAAATATTTATACTAAAGGTTTCTCCCAACCTTCACCCCTTAAAAGTTCTAATAGTTCCTAAAGTATAAAAAAATAATAAATTCACCATAATAATTCTACTATAAGTTATTCCCAACTTCCACCCTTTTCTAAAAAGATAACATAATATTTTTTAAATAAAATTTAATTTTTTTATTTAAAATCATCTTAAAATGAACTACATACCCTACCTCAGAATTTGTGTAGTTCATATTACTCCCCTTTTCTCTTGTAAAATTATTCAAGTATAACATGGGACAGTTGAGATAAGCCCAGCTATTTGAAGTTGGTCTTTCCTGTCCAGGCTATACTGAATAAATTATAATTTTATCTATTTAAAGGTAGTTAACTACCACTAGTGGAAAAAAAAAGGGTATTTTCCTTATCAAAAATTTATATTTTTAAATATTTTCATATTTATTATAAGTTAATGCAAAAAACTTTCTCAATTACCAATATTTATAACCATTATTTTCTAGTTTATTAATGAATAATATAACATTATCCATAAAAGAAATGCTATTGTTACAAACAGTTCAAAATCTTTTTAGTTGTGATATAATTATGCCTTATAGCACAGCATTATACATGAAACAACACTATTGGGGGTAGTTAGACCAAGAATGCCTTTCTCTTATCAAAATTAGTCAATTGTACTTTGCCATGAACATGATCATTGTTACTTTTTCCATTACAAGTACTTTTGGATATATTAAGCATGGTGTAAATTTCTGGTTATTTATAGCAATTAAAGCATCTATGTAACAAAAAGTATATATATATATATATAAAACTTAGGATTTGAAACCTGTTTCATTCACGAGTTTTCATAAAAACAAATACATATTGGTCATATTTGGAGAGAAGTTCCCTCCTATTGGAATACCCACTGTTTGTTCATAAACCTGTTCATTAGAAGTAATATATTATAACTATTAAAAACACAGACATGAAGAATATTTTTACATTGGACTACATTAAATTTAAATTTTAGAATATCCATTTCTGTATCTACAAAATTATTGAACAGGTCATTAAATATTTTGATCAAATCTTTCAGATCTATTTTAGAATATAATATCGTAAAATCATAAGTAGAAACAAAACTGGCCGTATCTGAAACATTTAAGTTATTTATACATTCCAAAACTGGAATGTTGTTCTTAATAATCCAAAAACAGTTATCTGGATTATTTAAGCATAGTGTTTTAATTTTTCTCAAACATAACATCCAGAATATTATTAAGAACAATAGATACAGATTTAGCAACTGTATCTAAAGAACTAGTTATTAATCTGAACTTGATAGGAATTTTAAGCAATTTTGAAATTGCATATAAAAATTGTATATTCCACTTTTTTATATTAGTAATAATATTATTTTTCTTTAAAGTACTTTTGCTAAATGTACTTGTAATGTTAATTTCTTTAATTAAAATATGTGCATACAATTTTTTACATATAAAGCCAAAGTTGCAACTTGCCTTATAAATATATATGAAAATATTCAACAACTTTCAGGGAACTTAGATCCAGGTTTAATAGTTGAAGGGAAAACAGATAATTTAAAATTTATGTTAGCCTCCAGTTTGAGTTTGAGTTTCACAGTACAATTAATACAATTTTCTTTTATTTTTCAACTGGTGAGATCAGACCTGGCAAATAGCATTAATAGCCAGAGCAGAGGAATGAGGAACATGGGACCAAAAGAGAGGAAATGTGCTGATGAAAACAACACTCATCATGTGTCCAAGAGCCCAAGATCAGCTTGTCATTTCAAAGATGCTCCCCAACCTGAGATGAAAGCATCAGTGAGGAGATGAAAATCTGATCTGGGGGTGGTAAGGGAATTCCAGAGGTGGTGTTGGAACAGTCCAGCCACCAATATAGTTCCTCAAGGAAAGGAGGAGGAAGATGCACAATCAAGGACAATGGATCTCAAGAGGGATTCCATAGGTTGTGCAATGTATACTGAAAGAAATGCATGTGTTTGCAACCCATAGGAATAAGGGGTTCCAGAGAAAACACGATCCCCAAAACAGAAAGGAGGAGAGGCTCGAATTGTGATGATCAGACACTCCAGAGTTCACTGGCAAATGGAAGAAGGTTGGTAACTACTGAGAGAAATTGATGAGCCACCCTAGATGAGCAGCCTCGTGAAGAAGAAGAGAAGTGTGGAGAGATGATTCTGCCTAGGAATTAGACAGAAGCCAAATGTCCATGTAAAAATGGAATTGCAGATCCAGTTCATGAAGACATTGAGTAAAGATTCTCATAATGTAGTTGAAGAAATAGGGGTTAATGCTATCCTGAAAGGAAGAGCCCAGAACTGGAAGACATGATTCTGGTGAACAAAGCAAAGAAAACACCTGGAGGACAGGGAAATTGGAATGTGGAGGAATGCATCTAAAACACTGACCTTGGTCATCCACAGTCTGGGAGAAAATGACCAATTTAGAGAAACAAAAGTTTCCATTTGATAGTGTGGGACAAGCAGAAATCCAATGAATGAAAATGGTTGATCACAGGAAGCCAGTCCCTGGTCTTCTTGGGGACCACAGAGAGAAGAGAATAAAAACCCAGGAATGGGTCATGGACTTGCTTGGTGTTTTATTGGTCCAACAGATCCAACACTAACTCCTTGAGATGTTGAAGATAAACACGATTAGAGGGAGAATAAAATGAGGCTGTAGGGGAGGAAGAAAAGAGAAATGGAGAGACACCCCATGATTGAGAACTTGAAAAACCCATCTGTCGGTAAAAAGAGTTGAGCCCAAAAGTCTGCAAAATGTGACAGATGTGCCCACATGGGTTTCAAACCAACTGGTTGATAACCAGTGAGTCTGACATCAAGTAGAAGGAGAACAAGTAGAGGAAGAAGGTCTGGAAGTAGGAATAGAAAGATGAGGGGTAGAGAAATCAGGTCAAGGAACAGTAGTAGAAAGGTGAGGTTGAGAAAGGCAAGAAAAGAGAGATAACTGGTGGTGGACTGCTTCAGCCCAAGACTCCAGAGAAATGGGAATATCATCAAAGACCTCTAGACAAAGAAAGGAAGCATGGTGAAGTTCACAGAAAAACGAAGTGGGTAGACATACTCAAGAAAGAAGTGTATCCTTACCTAATAAGTCCCAGCAATAGAAGAATCAGGTCAGTATGTAAAGGACAGAAGAGGTGGAACAGACCATAGTGTAAAAAAAAAAGAAAAGAAAAAAGTTGAACAAAATTCCCCAGAAAATTTGTTTGAAGTACAGACATGTGGTGTAGAAAGGAGCAGTAGCAAAGGAGAGTGGTGAGGAAAAACAAAGACGAGAAAATTTATCACTGGTGAGTGAAATTGAAGATAAAAGAGTCTGCTTCCCAAACAAGGAAAGACTGGGAGTCGAAAAATGTAAAATTATATTGATTTTATGCCAAAACATAAGAATCAGTTAAATGAGGGAGTGCAAGGCATAAGATTATGGGTACAAATTTGATTGAGAAAATAACTGCCCTGAATCTCAGTGTAAGGAGAGGAAGGAAATACGAAATAATCATGAGGGTTAGGTTTATGGAGTGAACTTTACAAACTGTCAAAAGACACGGGAAGAGAAGAAAAAATTTAACATACCTAAGAGATTAAGTCCTGAAAAAATAAAGAGGTTTGAGGGCCCTCCTGGATTGATAGGGAAGTTCCTAAGATAAATCCAGGAAAGGTAAAAAGGCATTCAAATTCATCTTCCTCAGTCTCTGTTTCCAAGTGAGGGGAAGGTATGCCAAAAGAATGTATGGGAACCAAAGGAGCTGGCTCCCACAATTTGTTGAACAATGGCCATCACGTTGTCCTCAGTTAATGAACTTCCAAAAGCCATGATTGAAATTTGTTGCACATGAGTGATTTCCTCACTCACACAAGAACTGGTTGAAAACACATTAAATAGTGAATTCATGATAAACTAAGTATAATGAATTCAAATTCGAAGTCGAGGAACCCACTTTGAGACTAATAATGGCTTGAATGGGTAATGAAGAAAAACTTCTGTTATGTTAAACTTATATTAAAGTTTTCTTCATTACCCATTCAAGCCGTCTCCAGCCATTATAAGTATAATGAAATACAAACTTCATTAAAAATGCAAATCCCAGAAAACTGGAAAAATTGAAACACATCTGTGTTATTCAGTGCTGAGGAAAATAATCAAGTTTTATGAGTGTAACTGCATAGGGTGAGGTATTGCGCATAGAAGTGTGCATTCTCCCATTGATAGAGGGCTTTTGTCACATGATGCAGTAGTGCAATTCAGGTAAAATCATGTGAAATCAAATGGGAGTTGCCTCAAGGTTAGTGGCATACGAATCTCTCTGGTAGACATGTAAGGAGGATAGTTAAACTGTGTGTGGTGGCGAGGTCTCTTCTCAGAAGTCTTACTATAGAATAACAATGAGCTAAGAATGTGATTGACTTTATTTCATTACAATGGTTAGTGTGTGTATCTTGTTATAATGGAGCTTGCAATGTATACATCCAAAACTTGGATCTCGGAAGCTACCAACCGATCATCACCAATCATAACTGGGTAATATTTTTATAGCTAGGCAGTATTTTTATAGTTGAGCAATAAATAAGACAATTTAAATTTCCACAAAATTGATATGTTTTAGATTTAACCAACAAAAATTACAAACTAAAAGGTGCAAGTTTCAAATATAAAACAATCAAAAAACAAACTTAAGAAAAATTATTATTTTTTTCTTTAGTCTACAAAGAAATACTTCAATGAAACTACTCTGTGATGTAATGTTGTGATGATAGCTCATTTTTAAACTAAAATTTCAATAAAATCCTTTTTCTCATGGATGGTGAACATTATTGAATGTCAAGTATGAGTATGTTGTTGTAGAACTGTCAGACAATTCCAGAAAAGGCTGCAGGCCCAATAGCTTCCTGTAGGAACTTGCAGTTACACCTGCCCAGAGGGCAGGTATTTCTGCTAGTATTATATAATTTTTCTTTCAATATTATTTTAAAGCTCACATATTTAGAAGGTAATGAATACTACAAATAGCTTAAAACTTTTCTTTACTTCTATTTTAACTCAAGTTAAGTGTATTTATTAGTTTAGCATATATTTGAAACTGTTGATCTATATACTACATGTATAACACAACTATAGCCCATATTACAACACATATACTATTAATGTTATAGGATGTGCAAAACTCAAATAATGATAACTGATGTTTTTTACCAAAGAAAAAACCAGGATTGATGTGGCCTAAACAATTAAAATATCAAAAATGAAGAAAGTTAAAATTAGAGTACATGTACAACAAAAAATCGCAAGAATATGTAGTATATTAGAACATACGCATTATTTTGTACTTAAGTACATACAAGAAAAATTAACTAGTGATAAATAAAAATGTCTATCATCAAGCACACAAATGTGGGCAGCTGTAACCAAAAGAAAATCATTTTCTTGATACGTACACAAGTATAGTACTACAAATAACAAAGTTTAATACCATTTACCCCACACACACACACACACACATATATATATACAGATCTTCATGTACCACCTGACAGTGAATACAGCTACTTCTGTACACTCAAATGCACATTTATAATATTCAAAATAATCGAGATATGTACTTTATATACAGTATTAATGTTAGCAGTTGAAAATTTATTGAGTCCAGGGATTCAATTGGAAAAAAGAGATCTCCTGAAAATATAAAAACATCAAAAATTAAAATTTAAAATTTTTTCATTTATCACTTACTAACTGAAGTATTATTTGAATCTTTTTCTACATTGCATTTGTTTGCACATGATGTTTTCCTTGCTTTTCCTGCCACAAGGTCTTCCTTGTCAGATAGTACACAATTTTGAAGATAGATGAACCTGCATCCAAGTCAAATTGTCATGTGATGAATTCTGGAAAACATGACATACAATATCTGCCCACAACACCATAGTAAACAGTATGGATGTTGTAGTGTTTATCTGATGCAAAGTACAGATAAAAGACCTAAATTTTATCAAAAACTATATGACGGTGAATAGGATTAATTGAGGAACATGAAGATAATTTTACTCTCTGTTCACAGTATTAAAAGTTGTGCATGTATAAGTAAAAAATATAATAATTCAAAGTAGTATATTCTATAGTATTTCAAGAAACTAATTCTTTCATATATGTAAACAACTATGCTTAATACCTGAAATAACCAACATAACTAATTTCAGTCGAGGACACCTGCTGGGAGGACAACTGCCAGTCAAATATATATATATATATATAATATGTTACAATATATAATACCATATAATGTTATATAATAACATATATGTAAATTGTAGAGCTCATTTTTAATATTGTCCACCAGCAGTTATCCTTCTCCTTACTAATTTTTCTAAGCATTTGCCATTCTCAACATGTAATTAAAGGTTAGTTAATGAAAAAGGAATAGCACTTACCTTGAAGTCCACTTCTATCCACGAAATTACTGAGTTGGAAGGTACAATTGCTAGATGCCAAATACTGTGTGAATCTCTGAAAATAAATACTCAGTTTAAAATGTTAACATTTTCTTAAACTGAAAATGTATTTCCAAAAGATACTTACCTCCTTTCACAAAAAGCTTTCTCGATTTATATTGCCCTCTATCTAATTTCACTCGCCACTAGACTTGATACTCCCACTTACCCTCATGTATGTTAACGTAAGATATCTGCATACTAACATGCAAATGATTGTGCAGCAACCCTTCACCAACAGGAGCACAACACTACTCCTATCGTAACTAGCAACCTCTCTAATCTTGCAGCTGTTAACCACTTTGAGATTGGTCATATCACACCAAACCACACCTGAAGTGGGGAGGACAGGTGGGAAAGGTGATCTGAAGTATCTATCGGACATAGATTTTTCATTTAAGAAAATGCTAACTTCCAATACGATATCTTACCTCCGTTCACAAAAAGCTAGAATCCCACATAGAACAGATGGAAGGCCGGTGAGAAGATAATCTCCCTTTAGGAAGCATCCAAATGAAAACCACGAGGTGTGAGAAGAAACTAAAAACAACACACCTTTGGGAGACTGCCACACTTCTGAGCCAGGTATACTCATCACCCATGTGTCACCAAATAGGCTGAAAAAAGGAGTAGCCCCCAAGAAAAATTACATAAATAATGGGACACCCTTCTGCGTAGAGTGATTAGGGCATGATAGACTATAAATGTGAGTTTGACCTCAATCAACACCTGACCGAATCTGGAATTGTACATCAGGTCCTTGGTGGGATGAGGGTCCTCTACCTTTCACCTCAAGAATGGGTCCAACAGGGAAGAGGACCTCCTGTACCAAGATTCCACCTCTGCAGGTGCACACCCACAACACAACCAACACCAGATCCCCTGGGAAATAAAATATGGATAATGGTAGGAAGGTGGAGAGCACAGGTGGGTGTTCATCTTCAGTCCAAAACCGGAAGGAAAAGTCTCAATGTCACAATCATCTAGCATGGTATATGATCACAGGTCATTTAGTGCAAATTTAAGACTATGTATACCTGCTCAGACAACACTCGCCACAGAGTGAGATCCAAATTTGCAAGAAAGGCCCCTACAAAAAAATAAAATGAATGGAATACTTACTTCTCACAGAGAAAAAGATTATCACAAAACAGCAACAGGAGGTATGAGAAACCCCCAAAGAGCAGGAAATGGTTACGTGAAGGAGATGGTGAGATGTAAAGGTATGCACAGTGGTACACATACCAGCACTGATGATGTCCTCCAAAGTAAGTTGATGGATCTGATGGGAAGAAACTTGAAAAAGTTGACAATCCTCAGGAGAAATGAAAGAATATGCAAGGCAAATCCAACCCATAAGAAATAGGGGAGAAAGGTCACATTAGAGGTTACGAATCCAAGGAAGAAACAAACAGACATGGGAACCATGGAAGGGAGCAGTGCATGTCATATACCATCAGAGAGCCCCGACCAGAGCAAAGGAGCTGGTCAGGATCAGAATGCTCATGAAGGTGGAATATGGAGGGAAGGGAAATGGTTGCAAAAGTAGAATTACCCTCTCTAGCAGCTGAAGTTTTGGGCATAAAAAAGGAGAACATAGGAACTGTGAAACAAAATGTGGTGAATATCAATTGTGAACACAATGGAACGATGATGTCCATACACCAACATGAGCAGGAAATTCAAGGAGAGGTGATATAATGAACACGAAGTCAAAGGTTCAAATGGAAGATGGTAAGAGCATGGAGGACCACAACGAGGTTCCAATCAGGGAGGGAAACAGAGCAAGGAGGACAGAAACACAGAAGGAACAAAACAACAGGGATGAAACTGGTGATTGGAAAACACAAGCAAAATTGGTAAGCCAAAATATGACAGATAACATCACCCTATAGCCTGCAACTGAGGAAACCAAAGGCTCCTGTCAAAAAGTCAATTCAAAATGTATGTTATGTGAAGAAACAGCAGGACGGGATGGATGATAACTCTATCTGACAAACCACCACAGAGGAAAGAGAATGGATGGATGATGCACACCTGAGTGGGGCTGATGAAGGAGTGTCAGAGATAAATGAAGAGGAAAGGGGGTGACACCAAAAGCTGGTGCAGCGGTGGAAACAATGTTTGAGCTGCCTGATATGGAGCCACCAACAGAACATGACACGGAGTGGTCTGAATTATAGCAAGGATCCTTGAGAGGAGAAAAATATGAGTATATGCATATGGATACCAATATGACCAATCATGACTGAGAGCATTGCTGCTCCTGCCAAAGGAAACTACAATTGGGGAAGTTGTGTATTGAGATGAATGGCAAAATCATCAAAATTTGAGACACCCCACTGAGCACACAATCCCTGAAAAACATGACGATCCAAATAACACTCCACTGAGAGAATGTTGTTGAGATGGGATAACCGATCCATGACCAGATTTAGGGCATCCAGAATATGACATGCCAACAAAATGATGTGATGGCTGTGGGCAAAATACAGAAGATCCAGTGTTTGGAAAAAAAAGGTATCTCGACCTAATGGCTCCTTGCTTGGTGATGTACGAGACCACCATAGAATTGTCAGAATGGACCATTACCAACTGGCCCCAAATATCTTGCATAAAATGATGTAAAGCTCAATGAACAGCAAGACATTCCAAGAGAATGATATGGAGAAAGGACCCAGAAAGAGTCCAACATCCCAAAACCTCCCGAGTGTTGAGATATGCCACCCAACCGAAAAGAGAAGCATTCATAAAAAGGTAACATTCCAGATAAGGAGAGGGAAGGAGAACACCCACAGTAATATTTTCCTGATCCAACAACCATACAAAGTCAGCCTGTAAGGATAGGGGGAAAGGAAAGAGGGGCATCTAAGGGATTCCCAAAAAAGGCTCCATTGGTTTATAAAAACCCACTAAAGATGGTGCATGTGGGTGCAACCAAGTGAAATGAAGGCTCCTAGAGAAGCCCACATCCCCAAAAGAGAGAGAACCTCTTGCACAGTAGGGCCAGACTGAAAATGGACTTGAAAAACACGCCAAGATAAACCAACTATTGTGTGGATATGGCAGCTTCCTGGAGAAGAAACTGAGTATGTAGGGCTTAGTCATCATTTATGGGGAAGCAGCGGGTCATCTACATAATGGTGGAAATGAATGCCTCTAGAATGAAGCAGACAGACAGACAACTGCCCAGACCAATCAACAAAACACATATGAAGCTGAGGCAAGTCTGAATGGAAGTGCCTGAAATTGAAACACATGTCCATGATTAACAAAGCAAAGATACTGTCTGTATGCAGGTAAGATTGGGATATGGTGATATGCATCTGACACATCAACTTTTGTCATCCACAAACTTGGAGTGAAAACCCAATGAAGGGCTAAGTATGACTCCATGGTGAACTTTGGAATGAGGAGGAAGCACTTTAGCAACAACATATCAATGACTGTGTGCCAGTTCCCCATTTTTTTGGGAACCACAGACAGACAAGAGTAAAATAAAGAACAAAAAGGATATTCTCATTCGATGGCACTTCTGAAGTAAGCCCCAAACCATTTCTGAAAGACATTGGCAAAAAATGGGATCCCAAGGAGGAGGGAACGAAACAGGAGTGAGATACAATGGGGGAGGAAGGGAAGTGGAAGACCAAACCTTCAGAGATGACATTCAGAACCCACAAATCGACCACAAAGGACCTCCAAATGTGGAAAAAGGGAAGGAGTCTGGCCCTGACTCTAGAACATACTCAAAGACACTGGATAATCCAAAAACGATGCTTGTCCACATATCAATGGCAAACACCAGAAGACTGGGTAGCCATAATTGGTAAGGGATTGGAAGAGAGTTGAGACACAGGGATGGGGAACAGGTTGATGGAATAAACAAGAGTCTTCAAACACCTCTCATTGCAAAAAAGGTGCCATGCACAAGTCCTACAATGAGGTGGAAGGTAAATGAACCTGGGATAAAGTGGCATCTCAACCAAGAAGATCCCAACAGCCACATCTGTAATGCCTGGGCCAAAGAGGAATGGTGTGCCATGATAGCAAAAAGGAGAGTCTGAGTATCATCTGAAAACCCCTCAGGGGTTTAATGAACAGCTTCAGACAAAAGGTAAATGGAAGATAAAAAATGGAGAAGGGTGGTCAGAGAGAGAGAGAAATATGTGAAAATTGTGTTCGGGAAATGGTAATTGAAGTATTGGGGTTTGATCCCCACAAAGAGAGTAGATAAGTTAATCAAACCACAAGCGAAAACACATCTATACAGCAAGACTGCCAATTAATAAGTGGTTAACAGCTACAAGACTAGAGGGGGCCCTAGGGTATTGTTGCACTACTATTGGTGGAGGGTTGCTGCATAATCATTTGCATGTTAGTATACAGATATTTTATGTTAACATCCATGAAGGTAAGTAGGAGTATCAAGGCTAGTGGTGTTTGAAAATTTGCACAGATAGAGGGCAGTATAAATTAAGAAAGCTTTCTTTGAGAGGAGATAAGACATTATATCAGAAATTTTCTTTTCACTCATGCTTAAAAGTTAAGAGATGTAACATAATATAATATTTTGGGACAATATGGGACCTATTGGTCCATCCTCTAAACTAAACCTATTAATAAATAAATTTAAAAAAATCTTAAAGTCAGCCCTTATTCATATACTTATCAGGCTTTCTTTTAAACTCATTTAAATTTTCTACCTCCACAACATCTGAAAGCAATAAATTCCAGAGTTCAACCACCCTGTTTGAAAAATAAAACTGTGTTAACTGAAGCTGACTCCTACTCTGCCAAAATATGTGTCCCCTGGCCCTACTATCCTCACCATTAAGTATGAAAAATTATGCATCAACATTACTAATTCCCTTTACAATCTTAAACACTTCATTCAGATCCCCTCTCCCTCTTCTTTTTTCCAAGAAAACACAATTTGAGAGATTTCAACCTCTCTATCCCAGGGACCATTTTAAAACCCATCTGCCATTTATTTGCCCAAATTACTAAATGATCTAAATATTTTTGTAAATCAAAAGCATCCTCTTCACAGCTAGCAACGTCCAAGACCTTAATATCCTCAGCAAATTTATTGACCATTCCTTTATCTATGCCATTGATGTAAATAAAAAAAGCAAAGGTCCTAAGACTGAGCCCTGAAGTACCCCACTTGTGATATTAAACCAGTTTGACTGAATTCCATTTGTAACAACCCCTGCTTTCTTCCCTCAAGCCACACTTCTACCCAATTTGCTAACTTATCCCCCACACCTTTAGATATAATATTTTCTTACAAGCCTTTTATGTGGCACATTGTCATATTATTTCTGAATATCCAGATACACCAAATCTACATAAGCAGCAACGTTATCAAATGTCAAAGATTTGTAAGGCAAGGTTTTCCCTTAGTGAAACCATGTTGATTATCCAATAAAAGTTAACATTTTCTTAAATTTAAACTGTATTTCCAATAATACTTACCTCTTCTCACACTACAGCTATTACTTGACTGCTAGGGTTTTCTTCCTTTGGTCTGATTTTTTGTTCAGTTATTTAATCCCCATTTCATTGCACTTGGCAATACCTGTCTTGTGACACTCTTCACTGATGTCAATGCTCCCTCTATCCTGATATTGTACATAAGCACCTGCTTCAGATAATATTATCAGTTTTTCAAGACTGTCTATATCTGCAGTCTCTAACACTGGCTATTTGTAGGAAGGTAAGGTGGGAGAGTGTGAATGGAGGTAAGTATTATTGGAAATAAATTCTGAATTTAAAAAAATGCTAGCTTCCAAAATATAATTACCTCTGCTCATACTACAGCTAGAATCCCACATTGATACAATGGAGAAGCAGGTGAGGGCATTATCTATACAGAATGCATCTGCATAGATCGTGGGTGTACCAAAAGAAGATTAGCACCCTAGTGGATGAACAACACCACATCCACAACAGGTATGCTCTTCACCTGGAACATAATTCATGCACTGGGGGTGGAATTTGGCATGATCTCTCGTCACTATTGGCCAGGCCCCAACCAGGTAACCAAGGTTCCACTGCTCAGGGTTGAAATTTTAAGGCCATGATTGTTAAATCCCACGTTGGTGGCTAGGGCATTTGGATTGCAATATATATATATATATACTTGTGAGTGGATCCCAACCTGTAGCTATAGAATGATGCATTACAAGCCACTGGAATCATGACGAGAAGGTAAGCAACACTAAAATGGACAAACTCTCTCTTCAATGTGAAGAAATCTGAAAAGCAACACCCCAAACTTGGAATGATGGGATCCTTTATGCCATACTCAACCTGAGGAAACAGAACTCATCTGGTCTAGAATTATGAACACTTATCCTTACTCCCCAATTATGTATGCAAGGTAAATTTCACTTGTCCCTGGAATTATGGGGAGGATATGGAACAAACTGTGCTCAATCAAGGACCCAAAATGAGACGACTCTGCATTCAGAATTACGAGGAAACAATGGACCCTCTTCTATGAGCAATGTACTGAAACAATACTAATTATATAGAAGGGCCATGCTCAAACTCACCAGATAGCGGAGAATCAAATCTAAACTGGTATTATTCACTGAACATGACCAAGATCAAATAGCGATCAGATGAATCAGAGAAAAGAATTGAATCCCTTTCCCATCTGACAGCGTGTTGGGTAAGAAGAACTGGTCTGAGGATGTAGAGAGAAAGAGAAAGTGATCTGTGGACAAATAATGCAAATTACTCAGACTTGATGATGTCTATAGGTTAGCAGCCATGAAAAATAAACCTGCAGATAAAGGGGATACATGGCATATATGAGTCAGGTCACAAAAAGGTGTTGTTGAAAAAGAATACATAATGTAACCTTAATATACCTAGTAGGTAACTGGAATGGTAATTTGGGACCAAGTACTTGTGATGTGAGGAATCTGGAAAGTACTTAGGACTCAAAAAAAATAGTAGTCGAGATAATTAAACAGTAATTGATAAGGCTGCTTAAATAAAGTGATTGTAGAAGATACAAAAACCTCTGACAAATAGCCAGGTCCTTGATGAGAAACACAAGACACTACCACACAACTGTCAAAGTGAAGCCTGATGATTTACCCCTTAATAAGTCCAGACTGTGAGGCATTGCCTGTTGAAAAGCAAGAAGGACAAAAACATTGTGTAGGGAATCTCTTCGTCTGTGCACAGACCCTGAAATTCCTGACTGTTGGTATATGCACCTCATCCCTGAAGCAGCAGCAGAAGACCCATATCGAAGTAGTGTCCTGACTTAACCTCTTGAGATCGAAGAATGATCCTGACTAAGGAAACTGGGGAAACCACTGAATCAATGTTTATGACCAAAGAAAGGATCACTTGTGTTCTTGTCCCAAAAGCACAAGGGATTCGAGTGATGCTTACATTCCCAGAAGAGAAAGAACCATCTGTGCAATGGGAGCAGTAGAGGTGAGTACAAGTGTGGTAACCTATTTTATAGCAATGAGCCAGATGGGAGTCAGCTGAGCTCCACTGAGAGACGAGATGAAATATAAAAAAATAACCAGACTGACAATATATTGAATTGGAGAAAGAACAGATGTCTCATTCCTGAAAGGGAAGATTGCCTTGGCTGTTTCTGAAAGTAGAATCAGGATGTGATGGTCTGACAATTGACGAGATGGTGCCAGCAGTAACCAGTCATCCATGGAATGATGTGTGCACAGTACTGTGGAATAATGGGAAGGAGAAAAAACTCGTATGATACGGCAGAACCCATGTGAAGCTGATGCGAGTCCAAAGGGAATAACCCAGAACTGCAGGTCCTGACCCTTATGCACCACAAATGCCAATAGTGGTAGGACATCACTGCTATGGTAAAGTGCAGATAGAAGCCAACTACAACCAACTTGGACATCTAAAATCCCAGTAAAAAAAATCAACACTGATTGAGGAGTGAGTAACTTGTGAACCTTGGAGAACCTAGACATTGATATAGACAAGGAAGATTGATGACTGGACACCAATCTCCTGTCTGCATAAGCCCAACAACTGATAGGAATAAAAACTCTGAAGAACTAGCAAGACTCTCTCACTAGCCCCAGACTAACCAAACACAGATAACCCTTCAGGTTGGGTGGACAATAGTGGTGAAGATGTAAACTGAATGACTAATTGTGATTCAAGGACATGCAGTACTCCTGGATTCATGATTAAGGTTACCACATATCGAGAAATTCTTGGAACTGAATCCCCACAGCCACTGAAGATATACAATAATCAACGATGCTACTGGTGATCTGACCAAGCAATAGAAACTTCTGATATAGACAGAATCTATTCTGGGTACCAATGTACTGAGAGGCTGATGTCGGGGTTGGGGACTCTCGAATAGGGATGGAACTATGACCCCCTCGAGGAGCTGACATAATTTGAGACTCCAACGATAACAGGGAGGAATGTAGAAATCGAAATTTGAACCAACATGCATGCCCAAAATGGATCCAGCTCGTTATCAATGAAAATGGTGATCCTGAGAGTCTTCTAACAAAGTGAAGTGAAAGGAAACAAAATGTTGAAATTTACAGTTGTAAGTCAGTAGACTTACTCTGTCCCATTAGGGGACATTGAACTATTCAGTGGAACTACAAACTCTGCCTTAGAACTCCAAAATTTGAGGAGCAGATGTATTATTTGAGAGTCAGAAAATGTCCCCACCTAGCAGTGGTAGGTTAAATCACAAAGTTTTGACAATGTGTCAGGTAAGACCTAACAAATCAAAGGCAGTTTATCCCAAAGTGGCCTCCCTTTTCGCTTTTTCATAGGTCATTTAAAGACTGTGTTGATTACTATAGATTGGAACAGGGTTTTGTGAGGTAAAGCTTTTTTGTTAGAGCAAAGCAACTTTGGGCCATCTGCCGCATTCACCCTAGGGAATTGAACCCCGGCCCCCAGTGCTGTGAGTCCATAAATGTACTGCTGTCCCACAGGGAGATTGAAATCCAACAGATTAAAAGAATACAGGAAAAATTGAATCTAAAGTCTCACCAAAATGTTGAGGATCGCCCTCAATTGCAGCCTCAGAGCCCCCCGGAAGACCACCACAGATACAAATATATGTCTCCATCTTACTACGAATAAGATCACTGACAGTAAATATCAGAGGAGGATAGGAGAGACCTAATTTGCCTCCATGCTGGAAATAATAATTCAGAAATTCATTCCATAAATTGGCTTGCCAATTGGAAGAAAAATTTGTTTTAAAAATTAGTATAATGATTATCTTGAAAATCAACTTGATAACACGATAATGTTCAAAGTATCTCTGAATGATCATAATACTGAGAAACCTATTAGTGATTCTTTGTTGAGAAAAAGTGATAACATTATCTGAATGAGGTAATTATATACAGTTCAAGGATAAAGGGTGCATCAATGTAGGTGGAGAGTATCACAAGATAAATATTGCCAAGGGCAATTGAGTGGGGTATAAAAGACTGTAGCAAGTGAGAAAAAATCAGACCAATGCTTAGATGGGCAAAGGAAGAAACCCTGGTGGTTGAGTAATAGCTATAAGTGGGAGAGGAGGTATCTATGTTTTGGAACTATGGAACATTTACATTTTCACAATATACACTGATTAAAACCACTACATAAAATATACTTGCATATAAAGCAATACATTATCAAATTTTTTTTTTTTAAAAGGTATGCCTCAGATGTTAAATTTCACACAAAACTCTAAGGTTTAGAAGTCAGTTTTGCAGTTCTACTAACCTCATTTCCATAACACATAAGATGATGAATTGTAACCAAAGACTTAAAAACAACAACCCATGAAGTGTTTAGTGTTCTTGCTATCAGTAGATCTGCTAATTCTGGGATGGAGACATTTGGTTCACTTGTGCAGTGTAACAGATCTGTAAACAGAAATCCACAATGTATAGAAAGTGATGCACATAATAATGAAATAAATAACTCAATAATTATTATTATGCCAAAGTTAGACTTAACTAAGGCATGGTTTATCTCCTAGACAAATATCTAATCTTTCCCAACCATTTAAAAAATGTCTGGTATCAAATCAGCTTTATTATTCTAAATTTTCTATTCCACAATAATTTCTACCTGTAAACTAATGAATGGAAATGTAAAAATAAAATAGTAGATTTGTAGAAATATAGAACATTTAATAAATTTTCTTAAATTTTTAATAAAGACCATTTAAGCTATATTCTTTATGCTTAAAAGCTGCTAGATGGAAAAAAAAAGATTATCACATTAATTCTGAGCATGTTCATAAAAAGTTAGAAAGTTTAAAAAAATTATAAAGCTCATGGACTAGATAATATTTACCCAAGGATTTTGAAAAAGTAATGGTTGAGTTTTTGAGCCACTTGCTACTATTTTTTTCTAAATTCCAGAAGATTGGAAAATGACTAATGTTACTCCTCTTTTCAAGAGAGGTGATAAAAATTGTTCTAGTAATTATAGTCTATTAGTCTTACATCAGTGGTATAAAATGTTTTTGAAAGTCTGATAAAAGATGCTTTGGAAAGCCATTTAACAAAGTTAAAATTCTGTTGGATAACCAACATAGTCTTACTAGGGGAAATCTTGCCTTACTAATCTTATGACATTCTTTGAAGTGATTGCTTGACTTGTGTAGATGAAGGTAAAGGTGTGGATTTATTTCAACTGGATTTTCAGGACATATTTGACAATGTGCCACATAAAAAAAAATCTATAGTTGTTGGAGATAAGTTGCCTCATTGGATAGAAAATGGCTGGATGGAAGAATGTCAAGTGTTTTAATATTCTCTAGAATTATTTCCACTATAGAAGTACTGTAAAACTGGCTGATCTATAACTTCCACAACAAATCTTATCACCCCCTTTAAAAAACAGGAATAACATTAGTAATTTTCCAATACTCAAGCACCTGCTAATAGTCTATTGACCTACCAAATGCGAAGGCTCTTTTATCTACCTATGACCTCCTTTAAAACCCAGGGAAAAACACTGTCTGGTCCTGATGCTTTTTCTATTTTTAATTTCTCCATCATTTTTTTTTATCACCAAGGGATTAATATCTATATGATTCAGGTCAATCCCATTACTTTCAATAGAATATTCATGGTCACATACTTTGCTAACATTCTCTCTTTTAAAAATGTAAGAGAACATTTAATGCAACCACATAACTCAAATTATTCAACAAAAACCTTGCCATCAGCATTCTTTAAAGGTCTAATGTTAGCATTTTCCTAACTTGAAAATTTATTTCATACAAATACTAACCTCTCCACAGAACAGATAGATGTTACCTCATACCTTTGCCAAAACATTTTGTGTGTGTGCCAAGCTTTTGAATGAAACTCTCATCCCTACATATAAAAATGTGCAAGTTTATACTCTTACACCAACAGGAGAGTGACACATCCTCCATGCACTATATTCCCAATGAACATTTCGTATATGTCAAAAGCTCATTCTTGATGAGGCAAAACAGACACACTAGAAGTGGAAAGGAAGGATGGGCGGTTATGTGGAGAGGTAAATATCTATTTAAAATACATTTACATATAAGGAAAATGTTAACTTCAGAAATGCTACTTACTTCTCCAAAGAACAGAGCTAGAATCCCACATTGAGAAAATGGTGTAGATAAAGAAATATAATAAACTCTTTTCTGAAAATATAGTGACAAAAATGGAAACTCGTAGAGCATATGTGTCATCCATTGGGGGGGGGGGGGGCTAATGGGAGCATCATTCAGTAGGAGACCACTTCCATCTCAAGCAGGGAATACTCTTCACTCAATACAAGTGGTAATGAAAAAAGGTAGTCAAAAGAACTCAAGTGACACAAACATAGGTAGAATGTAAAAGCTGCTAAACCAGTGCATGTTTCAGAGGATTGCACATGTGTAGTGTCAAGGGCAATAAGTCAAGCTATATGAGAAGTACATATGAAAATAAGAAGGTGCAGTAATGAATCATCCCATATCTGTGTCCTAAAAAGAATGAAAGACTCACCTGGCTGGTCACAACCACTGGAAAAGATAAAGTGTAGGAGTGGCCTATACTATACTTCAGGTAAAAATGTCTGTCCTACTTCTGATCTAGGAGTGTGTATATTCATTCTCATACCAGTGGGATTACACTGACCTGAAAGAGAATTCTTCATATCAACCTTCCCAGCAGCTCAGTACTTGGGAAGTAAGGGTTCTCCCACTTCACTAGAAGAAAATGGGAGGGAGGAGTTCACTCAGGGGAGAATACTGGAGAGATACATGGACCAACCAGGAATTATCTATCATCTGCATAAGGTCCCACATTGAGAGACTGTGCACTTGCTTCCCACAAAGCAGGAACTGGCCAGGTTTAAGAGCAGGGAATCATACTCAGGTGCTTTTTGTTTTGTTCCTTTTGAGGTAGCAGTATAGCTTGGAAGGTAAAATAAAATACTGCCAAAGCAGTCTTATGGAAAACTCCATTTCAACAGCAGGTACTCAGAAGGGATAGATGGACTTGTATAAGGGTTCTGTACAGATAAAGAAATTAAAAAGATGAGTTCCTTTCTGAGAATATAGCAACAGAATTGGTAAACTCATGGAGTGTCATCTGGGAAAAATGTGCATGACCCAAGAATCATCTGTATAATGAGTCAACAGGTGGAAAAAATGTAAAAGTCCAAGCTCCAACAGGACCAAAGCTGAAGGGTGGTTCCAGGTGTAGTTGCTTCTTTTTTATGGAATTTACAAGAAATAATCAACAACTTATCACCTTTATTGCACCAAGAGGTGTAATAAACTGCAATGTAGTGTAAACAATGTGACACAGAGGTGTTAGAGATTATTCACATCCCTGCTTGCAATGTCACATACAGGAGAAGCCATAAGATGACAAACTTTATAGAAAATGGCATAAAACAAAAGAGTAATCTCCCATAGACAAACAGATAAGTAGTATGAGGAGGATGACTAACTATGAAGGCTTAAAAGAGGTATATGAGAACTGAATAAAAGAAAAGAATGGCCAGGGAAACCAGAAGTTGCTGTTATGAACCCAAACCTAGAGGTCGAGAAGAAGAAAATGGAAGTCTAGAGAGTGGGTATTTCCCAGTCAGTTGATGTATGAAATAACAATTGAGTTGTTGAAGTAAACAAAACAGGATGTCCAGACACCTGTAACACAAAATGGTGGCAGGCCCACTGAACTGCCCAAATCTCCAGGAAACTGATGAGGAAACTTTATGTGTAGAAATAAAAGGAAACATGGGAGCATGGAAACCAGAAGTTCCATATCTCTAAAAAATAAAGGAGGTGATAAAGATTCAAAAATGAATCAGTAACTAAATGGCAGTCAATAATGAAAAGAAATTTATATTTTAAGATTTCTCAAATGTCCTAAATCACCTTTTAATTCTTTATCCTTGCTCACTAATGACAAATCTTTTTCCATGGCCTCAAATCTGGCTTTCTGAAAATTAGTAACTAAACTTTAATTTCCTGTTATGTCATCATGTAACAAAACATCAAACCTAATTATGCAATGATAACTTTTATCCAAATATTCCCCCACTAATTCTTGAAACTATATCCTCATTAGTGATTAACAATAAATCTAAAATGGCATCTCCACTGTTCAGTTTATTGTCAGATCAACTTGTTTCAATCAATCCATTTAATAGTTGTTAAGATTACAAAAATGTATCTAATGATTTTCAATTAATAGTTCATTATTTAAGTTTACCTATGTATTATCAAAGATTCTTAATGGAATTTTAGTGATTTTAATTATATTCATTAGATTTGACAATTATTAATTACATTTAATAATTATTTTATTTTGTAAATGAGCCTGATTTCTCCATTTCTCTGACTGTAAATGTTCATAAGAGTTGGGCACACTTGTGAGATATGACTCAACTTGCTTATGATTGACAGAGACAACTAATCCCCATCTCACCTGGTAACTCTTTACAAGTTAATGAGTCAATCTGAGCCTTTTTAAATAACTACACATACAGTTTAGCCTATTGTTCCAGAAACAAACCACTTTTTACACTATCACATTACCACAAACTCTGCACCACTTGCTTTCTACCAAATGAACTATACACAGACAAACCATTCAATAATTTTAAAATTCCAACAACAAAGTAATTTCTACCGTATCATAAAAATTCTGTATCATAACCATTTGTAAATCTCAAAATTTAAGATAAATTTTAATGAATTGATGGAAGGAGAAGCAAGTTGCATACCTGTCACAAACATATACTTCTTGATTATAAATCAAGAAACACAAATTATTCATTGTTATCCAATTTGTCATTAAATGTATATACCAATTGAAATCATACACCTTGCTGGTTTAAGTTCTAAAAATCATCTGAAATCCTGATGCTAAAATTAAACTTTTAAGGTCATGAGAATTTACAATATCCTTTATTTATTTATTTTTTTTGCAAGCAATTATCAATGCAAGTATTACAAAAAAACCAACTAAAATCAGAACTTTAGAAATTCCAATACAAGATACATGGAACCACACTTATATGTTACACCAAACCTGTTTTTCCAGGAGTTCCTCACACCCCCAATACTTGTCAAACAAGTAGTTTCATTGTGAAAGTAATTCAATATTAAACAGTTTAAGCATGATTTACCACCATCTTGACAAGCTACATTTGATATATAAACATATTTCTTTTACATTTTTTACTTTAGCCTTAAATTAAGTCTTTCCAAATAAGTATCTTTAAAATTACCATAATTTAAGAATATAGTGACAAAGAGCAAAAACCATGTAGAATTAAAACTTTCTACACTGATGGCCCTTTCACACTGCTGTAGCTTTAATGTGAGGATGAATATATTTTTCTTTCTACATTTGCAATATGTGGAATTTTCTTTCTACATTTGCTATATGTGGATTTTTCTTTCTACATTTGCTATATGTGGATTTTTCTTTCTACATTTGCTATATGTGGATTTTTCTTTCTACATTTGCTATATGTGGATTTTCTTTTTACATTTGCTATATGTGGATGCATCCTAGATTAACCATATGGTAGGGGTAAACTGCAAGAAACAAGCAAAGATTTCATAAGTTCAACTATAGAAATGCAATTTCAAATTACTGATTTTATTTGCTGAAACTACAAAACTCTGACTCGTTATCCTATCAGTTTAGTAATATCAGTCTGTTATGCTAGAAGTACAGTTGGATGATTAGTAAAACTTGATAGTCAATTATTTGTTGGACTACTTAAACAGTTATAGATGTTTGCTTGTAACTAAGCACATAGCTACACAATGAGCTATTGAAACCCAGTTTTTAGCATTATAAACCCTGAGACTTACCACTGAGCCACTACAAGCCATTAGTTACATTCAAGTAATTGATTGTTCTCACATGAAACTTTGACACTAGGAATAATTTAAAAAGAGTGATAACTTGAAACACTAATTTTGATTAGTTGATTATTTTCATAAGTTGTGACATTAAATGATTACACTGAACAACCTTCAAATCCAAAATGATAATAAGAAATTATAATGGTAATATATCATTTACTTGGATACTTGGAATAATCAAAAACAGTATTAACTGGAAACACTTATTTAAGTTGGTTGATTATTCTTATGGCATTAATTGAATTAATCACAATTTTGATTAATAAATCATTTCATATAACACTAATGAAAGTAACTGATGTTCGTATGTAATTATATCGATTAGTTGATCATTGTATCAATATTGTCAATAATGATACAATGATAATCATTTTAAGAAAATAAAACAGTAATATTTAAGTTTCAAAATAAACACAAGTAACAAATAAATATTTTAAAACTTAAAAAATATCAAACATGCAAAATTGCATCAAAATGTGGTTTCCTGCTTTACTTACAATCTAAATGTTTTTTCTTAGGGCCGATGATTTCTTCGGTTGTTGCCTTACAAACTGTCCGGGCTAACCCTTGGCCTGTTATCGTGTGTTTCGCCGCTGTCAACCTATCGTTTAGCGTTTGTCCCCCGGACATCATATTTTAACTGTTTTTAAGTCTATTTATTCGATAATAAATATAAACGACCAATTATACTTGAGTACTCAATATTTACGAATTACAGTAAAGCCAGAATCCTATGGACCAGTTTCAATCATCACTTTTCGACTTGTAAACTAACTGATGAACGCACCTTCCATTGCACAAGTATCATCCCACACCTCTTCTTCAGAAATTAGATGTCGAAAACCGTCGACCAAAATGGCGTTTCTCTGAATTCAACAGCCTATCAACCAATCAGTGAACTTATTTTTTCAAAGAAATAGTCTTTAATACTAGATAATTAAACGCCCACAAAACATTTTTTTTTCAATTTTTCTTTCTTATTTAAACATGTTGTATTCTATTTCTGATATATTCATTGCTTTAATATCCATGAATACTATAGTTTTTTCTATGAGATTCTGATCAAGCATTATAACTGTACTCCACCATATAAGTGACACACTTGAAAGATTTTTGCCTTTGATGATAAAAAATATGACACTTGGTACACAGTTAATGTTGCCACAATAAAGATTTTTGGCTATAGAACCATTGCAGATTTGTCCTATGACGGTCATGGCCGCCAATGTATAACACGGTCACCATGCAGTGAGTGCTACGAACCTGTGTGTGTGACATATTTGTATTGTCTTTGGAGAAAGTCTTAGTTAATTTTTCGATATTTCTCTTGAATAAGCAATGACTCACTATGCTTGCCACTTATACTGTAGCAGATCTGCAATATATAGACTTTTAATGTGCAAATATAAGACTGCTGACCTTCCAAATAAAGACAAAATGTGTTTGATGTTAACATTACTGTCGTCTATATACTTTTGTCTGCTTTCATACTATATCTAGCTTTTTTGAATGAATAAAAATGACCACAATGTATCAGACAGTAAACACTCAAAAGCCTTGCACCTCAGATATCTAATGTATTCTGTGCCAAGAGGACAAGTCTGAGGCGCCTCACTGTACAGCTGATGAAAGGTGTGGTACAGATGGAGCTAAAAGACCATTGTTGAAAATTTCCTTGGTATCTACAATAATAATTGATATATCATGATTAGATGTTGGTGTGGGTTACAAGGCAAATCTCCAACAGGACAGTTTTATGTGGCATGACTCCTGTAGACTGAAGTTCATCAGAACAAAACTTCGTGAGGAGAAAAATAAAACACAACATCACGAAAACAATGACGTCTTCAATAAGCCTCCCCTCTCAGGACTCGGGATGCATAGGCATCCACAGCGGGGAGGGGGGGGGGCAAGGGGCCCTGGAAAATGAGAAACATAATTCTTTCTTTATTCATTCAGCATATATATATGAATTGTTTACTCATTTCACAGTTTCACACTACAGTACTTCATCTGGAAAAATTTCAGCGGACGCTCATGTCGGAATGTATTGCCCTTTGGACTGAAAGATGTTTTTTTTTTGTGACAAACATGTAGCTGGTGAGGTTTTGCACACGGCCTCAACTCCTGAGTTTAATACCTATGTCAGGTAACGTGCTTTCGAAGTACATGACAATTTCTGTTCAATAAACTGAGCACAAGAGACCTGACAGCACAAGATTAAAGATACAATGTCCAGTGCTCCACAATAAAGTAAAAGAAACAAATACATATAAAGAACAGGATGCCAGAAGTATTAACCATGGTGTAACAGTCGTTGAATTTTTGTTCTGTGTTGAGGAAGCCCACATGGAGAGTAAAGTTGCACTAAATGAATAACCTGGCAAATCTATACCACACCAGGCTGGAACAGCTTGGGACTTACGTGACTGGACGTGTTCAATCCATTAAACTGAAAAATCGAGTCTTGAGTTACTTTATTGATTTGAAACACCATAAAGGTGTATTCTATGCTTGGCCCAGACAAGTAATTAGTCTTGCTCCATACATACATGAGGAGACAAGCACATGCATCTTGCTATATGTGCAATATGGTTTAATCCCACACTTCAACATTACTAGGCTGTGGGTTGTGTTTGTCACAGGAAGGATCTTCAGCTTCTTAGCAACTCATGAGATTACTAGAGCACTGGTTCTTGACAAATGTCGAGTCCTGCCCTGTTCCATGCCTTTAATGCGTGTGATATAGTGTCATACTTTCAAGAGAGGAGTAAAAAGACAACATAAAATATACGGAAGTATTTTTATGAAGTCACACCAACATTCTGCACTTTGGCTGCTAGACTTAAGTCTGTAGATGACTTGCTGGTGTTACTGTAATGCTTAGTTGTACTCTTATTTGACCAAGCCAGTCGTCAAGAGCATGTCAATGATGATGAAAGCAGTTCTACACTCAGATGTCCTTCCTCCAACACAAGTGACAACAGTCCAGTACACGAAAAGGACTACTTACCATATCATTCACTGTTGGACATAGATGATATTTTCTGTAACTGAGCCTCTATATTTTAGGGAATGGTTATAAACCAAGAGTGATGAAGGTGGCTGGGATATAAAGTGAACAACTCTTCTTGAGACTATGCAGGCATGTCACCAACAGCTTTGTTGTAGTTGCAAGAAAGGTTGCAGAGGACAATGCAAGTTCATTAAGACAGCAATCAAATGTGATTCTGAATAGGTTTATAATTAGTGGAGACAAAAGTCTGTACTTTTTGACTTTTTTGTGTACTAAATAATTTATTATTATCAATATATGTTAATAACTAGTATGCATAATCCAGTTTTTTGGTTGTTTGAGATTTTATTAGCATGTAAAATTTGATATGCTTATAGTGTCCATTATTTATATGGTTGTCATTTCCACCATAGATCAAATCTGTGATGGCCCCCTAGCCAAAGATCCTAATTAAGACATGATCTAACTGTGTAACAAATTTCATATTTTTGTCACTAAAGGAACAATTGTTCCACATATCTGCTGGAATACTAGGGGTGGAACAAATAATAGTTTTGGTCAGATATCAACTTTTGGATTCTCGGCTCATGAGATTCGATGGTATCCAGAAATTTGTTTGTAATGGTTAGTAGATGTGATCATACAAATTGAAAATGTGTCGTAGGCATGAGCTATCACTTCATTATAGGATATTGAACGAGAGGCCATTAAAGGCTCTTTAAAGGAGTGCAGAGTGAGACAATGATTTACACCCCTAGTTTCTCACTGAAACTCTCGTTTGAATTGTACTTGCCATTGCTATTGCTACCTGTAAGTGGCCACAGAATGAGTGGGCATAGGACTATTTACAGTATATTATATTATGACTATGTGTATTATGACTACCTTGACTCCCACTTTTTAATACCAGGAGAATTATGTTTATAAGATAATAGAGAGCACTAGTGGGCTGAATGACTAAATACCTATTGAGCATGGTACGTGTGCAGTAGCATCATTTCTGCATAATATTGTGAGATAATGCATTGACGGTAATGCTATCAGGTTATCTGGTTGGTCACATAATTAATATTTGATCAGATTGAATCTCATCAGATGGTGTAATATTTAGCCTATTATGGTATACTTATTCATTCGGAAAAAAAATCCCATATTGAGTCAGCAACCACAAAATACATAAATATACGCACAATCCAACATATCAAGTACACAAAAGATGACAGAAAAATTACATTGACCATTACAACTTAGCCATCAACATTAACCATGTTTGTCCTACTTGTATTACCATCTACATAAAATAAACACAAAAATAACTAAGGCAGAAATATAATAAAATGATTTATAATTATATAGTCCATGCTAATTTCTATTGCTTTGTTAGATTTCAATTCCCTTACAGCATTTCGGAAAGATTGATATATAACAACCATATCACCGGGCACAGTCTTGCAAAACGAAACAACAAAATGTCTCGTCAACTTACGTGCAAAATAACAAGTTTGCTTAGCAAGTTTATACCAGAAATATCTGCCAACATTCTCTCAAGACCTAATTTGAGTACTTGAAAAGCAAGAACCACAAATTCTCTTCAATATGTTAGATTATCAGAATTACCAGTCATGATTACGAGTCTTCAATGTTATCAAATACCTTCAGTTTTACATAAATTCTGTTATAACCCACTAAATATATAGAACAATTATCGGAAACTGTTAGACTAATCTGCTATGTAACTCGGAAAATAAGGGTGACGATGGTTTTTTCATTTGTCAATTTTAAACCGACCAACTGTTCTAATTGTTCAGCAGTCCAAAGGTTATCATACAACATTCTTATAATACTTTCCATAAATCATAATTTAATAGCTCAGAAAGCAAGGAAAACCGCTTCCTTTCAATCAACTGGCCAATAATGAAATGGCTATCACATAATGTTCTATATACAAATTCTATCGTAAAACACCACTTGATAGTTCATATAGTAAGGGTCACCCTTTCCTCCCCCTTTCATTGGTCAACCTATTGTCTACCTTGTCTTCCTAACTACTGTAAACTTGCATGTTATGGTTGAAGAAATAAACACTTAATTTTCGTAAAGCGAACTGGACTTTGCATTGTTTTTACCAAATAATAAGGACCTACCCAATGATAGAAACCATTAAAATACTTATGTCAAGAGTGGTATCATTTGAGAACAATAAGGTCTAGACCAAACTTCAAGATGACGACAGATGCTAGAATGAGACAGAAGATTTTCTGGAGATGAATAAACAGTGAAAAAAATAATTAAAAAAAGACCAGGAAGTAGCAGACAGAAATATAAAAGAAGACCACAAAAAAAGAGACAGAAAGTTAAAGAAAGACCCGGAAAAATGAAATAGAAAATTAAAGGAAGAATATGAAGAAAGAGACAGGAAACTAAAAAAAATTCTAAAATAAAAGAGAAAAATATTAGAAGAATAAAAGCAGAATGTCGGATAAAAGTCAAAGAACTTAAGAGAAGACCAAGAAGAACGACACAGAAGTTAAAGAGTGTTAAAAAAAACGAAAAATTAAATAAAAGAACAAAATCAAGATACAGGAATGTTGGAGAGGAATAAAATGAAGGAGATGTGAGATTTAACGAAAAATTAGGAGCAAAATTAAAATTGACTGAAGGCGAAATCCATATAAGATATTTAGAAATATACTGAGGAATTTCTGCAGTTGAAGTAGTACAAAAAAGAAACCTATGAAGTGCAGAAATACTGTAATTACAAAATGAAGGACTACAAAAAGACATTAATGAAATACAAAAGGACGTCACCAAAATCAAAAACGAAGTACAAAAAAGACAT